GTGCATTGTAGATTAGGTCAGTCATCATCGTCATCAAGGTAATTTTCATCGTCATCCTGCTCATATATCTGATATTCCCCGTCACTACTTTCACCACCATCTTGCTTTTTGTCACCATTGGTGTCCATCGATGGAAAACTGCCCAAGAGTTGTTGCAGATAGCTTGTGGAGGTGTTCTCCATATCTAGATCCATGCGTGTAAAGGATACACAAAGTAACAACCGGACATGGAAATGTTTCAAGAAAAAGAAAATGACTATAGAAAGATGCTTAAAGTTCTTTATTATTCTGTTCACACTTGAACACAACAAGGGATGTGCAAAATAAAGGATACGTGAATATGAATTCATCGAAAGATTATCTGCCTCACCCGCCTGCAAGCAAAAAGAAGTAACAAACTTCAAAATGATTTATCAAAAGAAGCTGCATGTAAAATGCACAAAGCAGATGTTTGATTACCGAATCCATTCCATATACATCAAACTCCTCTTCGCCATCATCAGAATCGAGTTCATCCACCTCAACATCATCAGTGTCGATCTGATTTTCAATAGCTTCATCTACAGCATCTGTATCGTTTTGTAAGGTTTCATGATCTACATTGAAATGAGAAAGCAGGCAGGAAAGAATTTAACAGCCACATACACATTCCTACAGTGTTCTAATGCTAACATTCATACCATAGCATCATTTAGAAAAACAACCTTCACAGATAGTTCAACCACATTTCAAAAATAAGGCACAAAATAATGAACGGGAAGGGGCAAAAAACCGTGACTAAATATGAAGGAAGAAAAAAAAGCTGCCGACAGCTAGAAAACCAGAGCTTATATAAATATTATAGCTATTAGTTCAAAAATCATTTTTGGTATTAATGGTTTGAAATTCTCAAGACTCAGACAATATGAAACAATTTTATAAAATATATAGGATGGCACTAATAATCAGAATAGATAAAACTTCTTGAAAGATGAAAATTATTATCCGAAGCAAAATTGGACAAGAAAGTGTAGGTGTTAATTCAACCTTCATTAATTTGCTGATGCTCCTCCTGAACTGGTTTTGGTGCATCTTTGTAGATGCATGCTCTCTTTGACTTCATAAATTTTTCAGAAGCAGCTTTAAGAAATTTTTCTGCGCCAGTCTCTGGGAATATTGAAAGGAACCTCACCTTAACACAAAGTCTCAAGCTATCATGCACATGCTGTGAGAACCATCCTGTTTCATACTGTCAACGAAGTTACATTAAATCTTGCTCTTCTAACATGAACAAACATAAAACAACAGACACAGTTTAGATAAAAATGAGAAATTAATTGTATCGCTGTTCATGATATGGTATAGAAATCATAAATTTAAATACAAACTATCCTCATCTGAAGAAATGCAGATGCATGCAAGTCGGCATGAATAATAAATTATTAGAGGTTGATCCACCAGACCAAATAGAAAGAATGAAGTTTGATTTTTTGTTTGGGATTTTGTATAGGAATGGTAAACTACCAGCATGATGTTCCGGTTAAAGCAAATATTGCCAGGAGGAAATATGAGAATTGAACTGCAATCGATGGATCCACAATTTCATAGTAATTGTTATATATATAATCTTTACATTGTTATCTAAGACCAGAAAATTTTGTCACCAGTAGACTGTTTATATGTTTCATTTTGTAGAAAAACCTGGTCTAATGGACTAGGGTCCTGAGGATGTGATGACGCTATTTCCTCCACTTCTCACTCAAAGAAGTGCCCAAAAATATACTATAAGAAAGCTCTATTTCTTTATGTTTGTTTACTTGATGGTCTAACATTGTGATCAAATAGAGTAAAAGGCCATAAGTGTTTAAGTGCAGTGTTCAAAATTGAGAGATATATGACATTCATACAATACAATGGACTAATATTACTATGGGATTTATAGTAGAAATAGAAGACCCTTTGAGAAGAATGACGCTGAAACATGTGTTGCATAGTTTCATAATAGATATGTGCACTGGGGTCACTGTCACTGTCATATGCTCAAAGTTCCAATAAGCACATATGCCAAAAAAAAAATCAATATCAATATCAACACAGCTAAACATGAAAAACTCACAGTGCAACTTGTCTGCTTTGGAGGCTTTTGTATCTCTTGTTGAATGTAATCATCATGGAGTTCATACAGCTGGATCGAATACTGGTTTCTGTAAGGAAAAAATCGAAATTTGCACAAATCCTCCCATCTATGCTTCAAGCTGCAAAGCCAAACAGACAGATGTCAGTATTTAGACGAGCTTGGGCGCAGCACAAGCAAACAGTCTAGCCATGAAACATATGAGCAGCTTGCGGACAGTGCATATCAGTTATCATTCATGTAGTCACATTCAACAATGGTTTTGGTCAGAGGCCAGGTCAATGGGCAAATCACAAGCTTCAAGTACAGGCATCTATCATAGCCACTCCAAAGACCTTGCTATAGGCATGAGGTTGGCTTAATTTGGAGTTACTGAAGAAAATGATTTGTGGTCTTTGGAAGAGGTGTGGTATCATCCATCATCTTTGATGCCATCATGTCAGCAGTAAAAATGTTACCTCAAGAACTTACAGGAAGTGAGTAAGGGACTGATATTAGTTCTCATAATTACCCTTTAGCAGCATTATCATCACAGTAACTTTTTAATTCAGGTGGTACTCGAAAAGCAACGCTTTGATATCTGCTAAAGAAAACACCATAGATTAGCATCTATAAAACACAATTCACATTTCTCCAATTCAAATAGGCAGTTCAAAAGTACTACATAGATAAACTGGAACTTGAGAGAACTCAATTTCAAATTTTGTTCACTTTTGAGTGACTCACTATTTGACGACAAGTTCTTCTAATTCTAGAAGAAAAGAAAAATTTTCTGATATGACAGAGATATGCTTAAGATTCTCTTCCAAAAGAAAAGGGCTTAACCGGCACATTCAGAACCAACAGCATGCCAGAAATAATCAACATGGAAAGGAAGGAAATGTGACATAAAATACCAGAGGTTGTAAGCCTGAACTATCAATCAAGTAAATGGAGGCTGGAAATTTTGAACCCGGACCAGCAATATCGGTACAAAGATGCCACAAACCATCATGTGCTTCCCAAATTACTTGACGGGAGAAAGATACATCTTTTCTCCACCATAATGTTGAAAACATCCTGGTTTAGATTGCTTAAGGTGATGAAAAAGAAAAGGCAGTTCCTATGTGGGGATGATTAATCATGATTCATGATGCAGCCTGAGCAGGCAGACATACTTCTTTTATAATCTATAAGCAGAAGATGTGGAATTCTCAAAGAACACCCTTTCTAATGGATAATTGGAGCATGAAGACTTATTCAATTCATATTCAAAAGAAACTAAATGACCAGTAAATTAAATGCCACCAAAAGCAAAACAGATTTAAGATCTGAGCCAAGAAAAGATCCAAAAAGAATGTTGAGGTAAGAGCATGCACATGCGAGAATCAGGATCTTTGCGAGGATCATATCCTTTTCTGATCCAGAACTTCTGAAATGGTCCGCCTGAAAAGTAGTATCCAACTGTGAGCAGAAGCCTGCCAGATCAAACAGATGAAAGGTGATTGTTCATACGAAGTGAAACCTATCAACATGTTAGAAAATAATCAGATGAAGTGACCATGATCAACCCAACAAAGAATTATCAGTAATAAGTGGCAGAATACCTTTTAAGCGTTTGATATGTAAATTTAAGATTTTTATCAAGTAGGCGTTCAATCAATGAGTATTTGGGCCATATGGGCCGCTCGTCAAACAGCTCAGATACAGCTATCTGCCACTCCCACATTGGTGTACCTTCTGTTATGAATTCCTTCCAATTTATTTTCTTAGGAATCTGTATGAAAGCTAAGGGCTGCCAAATAAAATGAACAGGAATTTGGAGGATATAATCCAGAACTCAAAAGAGAAATGAACACTACATCAAGAGGTCCACACAAAATAAATGCTCAACTTGTGGTCTGTATACACTACACAAGAAACACTTCTTTGAAAAGGGTGGCTCCCCTGCAACAGTTTAAAGAAATAAAACCGATCCAAAAGGTTGTAGAAATCACCCCTCGGATCATTAGGACGGTTGACCACATCAAAACAACCATCTATTCTCTTGACATTCATAAACAATGAAAAGACCATAGATACCCAACAGTGTTCTAACAGAAGTTCCATTATGGATAAAAAAAGACCTAAACACCCAATTACTCATGAAACAAAAACCACCTAACATCAGGATATCTTGAACATCTTTAAAATCAATACCAAGTGCTGGCTCAAAGGTCATCTGCAAAATGGAAAGAAACAAAATCATTAAATTTTAGCTTAACACGTGTTGGTAATGTCTAGCAAGAGTAAATGCAATGAGATCTAAATCAAAGAATGAGGTTACAAGCTAATCTTATAATCTGTGTATATGCCATTAGACCACATTTACATCCCTCCTTAGTCAGTGATGAACTGAAAAACCAATTATTGTTTTATCCAATACCTTTGAATGGGTTTCTGGAGGTTCATCTTGTTTCTTTTTTGAACTTGATGTTGATGGTGGTCTTAACCTGAAAAGCATGAAATCAAACTAAAATCAAACCAACAATTATTTATCAATCTAGACTCCAAAACAAACATTTAATCAATCCCCTCTAAAAGCTTATGTTCTTCCTCCTTGTCACCATAGGCAAAGCCCTTGATTAAAAATATGATAAATTGCTATACCATTAAATAAACAACATGGCCAAACACAGAAACAGAGCCTCGTACACTATATTTTCTGGCACATCTTTGAGTGAAAAAAGTGGAGGCGACAGCATCATCACATCCTCGGGACCCATATCAATTAGACCGGGTTTTTCTACAAAAACAAGAATAAAGAGTTTACTAAAACAAAAGGTTTCCCAGTTTTTTTTTTTTTTTTTTTTTTATATATATATAACAAACCATTACTTTGAAAATGTGGTTCCTCCATCTCACTAGGATTCTTCCTCTTCCTCCTGGCAATATCAGCATGAACTGGAACAACATGCTGGTAGTCAGCCATTCCTACAAAAAATTCCAAAGCCGAAAGAAACCCGAAGAAAGAATCAAACTTTATTTCTTATTCATTAACAAACATAAAAGAAGACAGTTCAATCCTAACCCTCAAAGTAATAAGCCTCTGGTATTCTAGCAACAATATCAGCATGAAACTCCTCTGATTCTTCCTTTGCATCATTAATGGGACTAGAATTCTTCTTCTTTCTAGCTATTTTCAGCAAGATACTGTGACAAGACCGAAGCTCTCCTGACACAGGATGCGAGTATGGATCCTCTGGGCGAAAATACAGTTCCAACTTATTAGATTGTGAACTACGAGCCTAAAATGCCAAATTCACAGTATTAACTACCAAAATTAATCACTAATAACACAAAACAAAAGCGAATAAATAAAGGGTCGTAATTGGGATTTGGAGTTTGTTTGTTGCCGTACCTTAAGAATTGATTCAGTTCCTCCGAGAGTTTGGATAGCCCGAGATATTGAAGAAGGATAGCCTGGATAATGAACTGCAAAACCCTCTTTGCTTGGTATCAATCCACTCACTTTTCCTTCTTTTATCACTCCCATTCTCTTTGATCTTACTGCTTTTGTTCTTTGCAGAAGCAGCAGCTCATCAGAAGAGAAGAAAGGAAAGGAGAAGAGGGTTTTATAGTTTCTCTCTCAAGTCTCAAAAGAGAGCAAAACATAAATATAAAGTTATGGGCTCTATGCCAAAAAGGAGCCAAATTTAAGCCTTAAGGTCTTCGGTTGAGACCCGGAAGGCCATATCAAGTCTGGCTTTTCTATTTTTGGGACACCCTTTAGTATGAGACTCCTCTCTTCCTCTTGGGTCTCACTCTCAGTGGCATCATCAACAACTAAAGCAGCTGTTCCATATAGAAAATTGTGGATTGGTGCCACAAATCTGAGGATGGGCAAGAAGAGAGAAGAAGGAAAGGAGCCAGGTGAAAAGGAGAGAGAGGGTAGTTTTAAATTCAGGCCCGATGTTCATCAAGGGCATCAACTCCTAACCACTGAGATGTCTGGTAACTTTCTCTCTCTTTTTTTCTTATAGAGAACTGCCTTGTTTCCACCAAAAGATTTCAAATTCCAGTTGCTTTTGAAGGAAAATCGCAGGAAAAGCCTATTAATTTAAGTGTGTTTTCTTCAAATTCCAAAAGATACTGGGAAAAAAAAAAAGAACAATAAAAAAAGAGACACCTTGCACATACACATCTTTTTGTCAATTGTGGCATTATCTTCTCTTAAAATACATGCCTCTGTTACATTCCTTGTGCATCACTGCATGTTGTTTTTGATGTATGTATACATTAATTACACACACGCACACTTATGTTGATTTAAGAATTTTATGATTAATTCTAATTAATTTTGCTCAAGTGTTTTATCCTTACGATTATGTATAACATATATTTGTAAAGTTGATCCTATTATCCATGGATGTTTAAAATCAGTGCTGATAGTATTGACTAACCGGCTATCCTCGTAGTCCCTCTAATCCCAATTGTCCTACTGGAAAACTAGATTTCTACACATGCTTTCATCGTGAAAAACCTAGAAATTTAGGAGCACGAAGCTCTTCTTGGGGTCTTAATGATGGTGGTGATGGTAAAATAATATTCATAGAAACTTGTTTTGCTTACGACAAGTCAGGATACCATAGATTGTCGTCGTCATTGTAAGTAGAAGAATGCTCAAAACAACGACACAACATGATTGAGAATGTTGATGAGAAACCTATAGAGCTTGCTATATTTTGTCAGAATTGGACAATGAGACCACCATGTCATGTATATTCGGACGTTTTTGTAAGTATGTAACGATTGCTAAAGAGATCAATTGTTCAAGCGTGCAAAGGTGGTTCATTAACAAAAACTCTAAATATGTGGGATTTTTACTGTAATATATATCAAAAGATAGTTAGCTGTGGATTTGTATAGTTGAGTTATTGCTCTGCTTTTTTTAGAGGCTCGGAGAATTACTCTGCTTTTTTTTCTGCCTCTGTAATTACTTATTATATATATAAACGGGAGGAAACAATACTGTGTATTTACTGTGGATAATGCTCATTGCACCTTGGATAATATTATAAATATGTAGTATTTGTACTGTAGATGACATTATAATACTTATGAAAGGCATTGTATTTTCTGTTTGTAAGTCAAAAAAATATTACCGGGTCTTGGATCTTGTTCCTCGCAAGTTTAATTTGTTTTCCTTTTGTTTTCTTTATAAATATGATAAAGAAAAAATAAATTAACAATAATTTTTTTATATTATATAAAAATTAAGTGGTGATAATTTGTTATTTAAAATTGAATTGAATTTCCTTAATAAAGCATCTGTTAAGATAATTGGGAAACAAATTGATGGGTTTGTCGACATGCTAGAGATTTCAAAGAAAAAGTGCAGACAAAAACTAATGGAAGAAGATGAGGAGAAGGTTATTTTGGTGTGGTTATTTTTCAATGGTTCATTCTATTTTCTAGTGAGGTCTAGCCATAGAAAAAATACACAATATATTAAAATATTAAAACTTAAATTAGAACTAAAAAAACTTCAAAAATTTTAAAAAACGAGAATATACCAATATCAAATAAGCAATTTTGATGGACCCATCCTTGAACCATAGTTTGAAAAGGACAATTAAACGGCAATGTTTATGGTTGAGAAACCTTTTATTAGTATGAGGCTCCTCTCCTCCGTCTCTTGGGTCCCATTCTCAGTGGCATCATCAACGCCAAAAGCAGCTGCTCCATACATGCAAGTGTGGATTGGCGCCACAAATCTGAGGATGGACAAGAAGGGAGAAGAAGGAAAGGAACCGAGTGCAATGGCGAGAGAGGCCATTGTTGAATTCATGCCTGAGGTTCATCAAATGCAACAACTCGTAGCCACCGAGACGTCTGGTAACTTTGTTCTCTCTCTTTCTTATAGAGAATTGCCTTATTCCACTAAAAGATTGCAAATTTGCTTAAATTCCAATGGGGTTTGAAGGAAAATTCAGGAAAAGCCTTGAAATTGAAGTGTGTTTTCTCTTTTGGCTCGATGTCATGTGATTTTGCGTGTCTAAAGTTTTGTTGTTTGTTTTGAGTTCGAAGTACATGGTTATAGAGATATGTCATCGTGTCTATAAATGATGTAATCTAGGCGGTTGGGAGAAATGTTGGGAGCAGGGATTGACGCCATGGGATTTAGGACGCCCAACACCTATCATCTTACATCTTCATCAGACAGGTGCCCTTCCTAAGGGAAGGGCTTTAGTCCCTGGATGTGGCTCTGTAAGTTACTTTTTTCAGTATTTTTATGATCTCTTGCATGTTTATGAGCGCCCCCCCCCCCCCCCCCCGCCTCTTTTTTTTGGTGTAAGTTTCAATATGATCCTAAAATTAGCTATATGGTCGAATTTTGCGCAGGGTTATGATGTGGTAGCAATGGCATGCTCCGAACGCCATGTTGTTGGATTGGACTTCTCGCACACCGCTATTGAGAAAGCAATAGAGGTAAGAGCAATCTGCTTGCCAATTCTTCAAATACATTGCACAGAACAATGTGATTATGATCAGATTAAAGCAAAACGTATGATAGAGGAAATTAAGATCTTTTGTATTACTAATTCCCTTACGTTCCCAAAGGAATCCAATGAAAGGACTAAAAATGCAAATCGATTTAAATTTCTATAGCTCTATTTAATCCTGAGAAGCCTTGATCTAGTGTTACTGAAAAAGTCAGTTGGTAACAGAGTTGGCACCCATATCCGTGGATTCTAAGTTGGTTTCAGATCAGAATGGTGACCTAAGTTAAGAAATTAAAAGATTCATGGTTTTAGTTTTTATTGCTTCATTACTTATTTTAATTCTCTCTTTAAATATTGAAACAGTTGTCTTCCTCATTACCAAATTCAAGTTACTTTACATTCTTGAAGGCAGACTTCTTCACTTGGCATCCACCTGAGCTATTTGATCTTATTTTCGATTACACGTAAGTCAACTTGGTCATATGCTTGTTTAGTCTGTGAGATGGGTTGCCTGATATGAACATGCTAATGGAAAATCTGCAGGTTCTTCTGTGCTATCAAACCAGAGATGAGATCAAAATGGGCATGCAAAGTTCAAGAAATGTTGAAACCTGATGGAGAGCTCTTAACACTGATTTTTCCGGTACCGATCTTTATCTCTGACATTTTTATAGTTTCTCTTCCATTTGGCAACAAACCCTTTCTTTTTCTTTGAAGGAAGCAACAATAACTTGACTCATAATTATAAAACACTCTAGTTTCTTGGCTCTGTTTAATTTGGAGTTATTATGAACAATGGAGGATAGCTTTTTCTTGGGATTGTCAAGTCCATACTAAATACAAGTAAATCAGCTCAATTTATTGTGATCTTCGCTCTTTTTTATAACCAGTGGCTAATATTCCTATATAATCTTAACTATTTGGCAGATCAGTGATCATGTTGGTGGGCCTCCGTATAAAGTATCAGTCTCCGAGTGCTTCTCTACCTTTTTTTTTCCCTCCCTTCCGCTTCTAATCTTATTAGTTATTGCCATGACCTATAAAATTCTTGGTTGACAGTTTATTCTCTTCTTAGAAGATTGAATTTATCATGCCTTTTTCCCTTAGCTATGAAGAGGCGTTGCATCCCTTGGGCTTCAAGGCAGTAATCATTGTTGATAACGAACTTGCTATCGGAGCTCGCAAGGTACACTAGCAATGTTTTATCGTTTCGTGGTTTTCTGCTTGCAAAAGGGTCATGCTTTTCATGCAATACAGCTTAATTCTCAGAATACTGTATTGTAAACTGATTTTAAAGCTGTCCATTAGAGCACCATTGCCGTTCATTTTGGATATCAATTGTGAAGGGTCTTCTGGATTCAGTCTAGTAGAGTAACCACCACTCACCATTGTTCCATGCTTTATTGTGAACTACCGATTGTTTTTATCAAAATTATATATTTAGGAGTTTGGTGGTAGTCCCTTCATGATTATGGGTATGCAAGATGGGATGGACAGATGGAGGATCCAGGGAAGTACAACTTCCAGTCCTGGATCTTATTTTCGAAATCTTATGCTTTAAATTAGTACGTGTGATTATGTGCATGGCTTATAATGTTCTTCTTCTTCTTCTTTTCTCCTTACAGGTGCTTTTTTATAGCACAAAAGATTTTTCTTTGCTGAAATGAATTCTTAGATTATTGCAAAGATCTTGAAGAGACTTAACAAATTTATTTTTGCTTGAGCATTGCTGCAGGGAAGAGAGAAATTTGGGAGATGGAGGAGGGATACAAACACTCTTGATGCACGATCCTCATTTCTTCGGGAGGAGGGCACATTGAGCATCATCATGAATGATGGTTTCTGAAGGAGTTGAATCGCCATCTCCTTGCTGTACAAGATTCACTCCCATCATTGACTTGAATCCTCTGGGATTATATTCGCATGTGAATGTCTGTTCTATCATTTACAAGTGAAGAATAATATCAAACTTGAAGAATAATATGATGAATGCCTGTTCTTTACATTGATTTAAGCGGTGCAATACCAAACCAAGATTATTGATGACATTAATCATAAGAAAATATATTGATGCAATATTATTCAATTTTTTTATAGTACATAAAAATGATTTTACTATTTTTAATTTTCTGTTATCTCATTTAAAAACTGTCTTTTTTTTTATAATCAATATTAATTCTTGAAAAACCAAACTGTAAATTTTTTATGGGACAAATGGGGATTTAGTTGGCGTTATAAAAATATTACAAGACATCGTTTTTGAATCTAGATCGGTTCAATAAATTTGACTCAGAACTTGAATCAACTTATGGTCTAAATTAGTTCAAGTTGAAAAAAAATAAAAACCCAAGTGATTCCGTTAGAAACCGAGGTTGATCTTAGAACAAGATAAAAACCAAGCAATCAACCCTTGCTCTTTTGGTTGTAATTCGTACATTTTTCTTTATGTATAATTAGTGCTCCAAACTATAAAATTATATTAACTCTAAAATTGATCAAAACAATTTTGTTTTGATTCTTTTAAAAAAAATCAACCCGGTGGATCTTTCCAACCCGGCCTGAGGATAAGTTTGTGTGTAAATTTGGGTTCGCATAGGTATTAAACTCTGATTGAGTTAGGATAAATTTGTGTGTAAGTTTGAGTTCGCATAGGTATGGAACCTTGAAGAGGAATATTATCTATGTGTCGATCATAGATACTCTGTGTTCTGTGTCTCTGTCTCCTCCTCCTCGTTGTCCGTCCACCCATCAGCATAATACGCCGAAGTCTTCGCGCCCTCTATTCTCTGTCTCTGCCTCCTCCTCCCCTTCCTCTTCCTCGGGAACAGCTCCAAACCAAAGTGCTCTCCTCTTTCCTTTAGAGTAATTCTTCCCTTCCTTTTCTTCTCCTCTTCACCTTTCAGTCTCTTGTTTCTCAACCTTTCCAATAGATATATATATGATATATCCATCTTGATGATCATCAATGGGTCAGGATAGAAATGTTGACATTTTTGAAGAGGAAGATAAAGAGGCTTTAAAAGGGTTATCTCCTGTCCCTCTGCCGCCGCGAAATATCCACTCTCATAGCCAGCAGCTACGTGCAACCTCTTCAGGACCTACTACTAAAAAACACCATCCAGGTACAAGAAAGCACAGTCTTGATGACATCCCTAAACCTGTGCTTTCTGATCCTTTTTATTATGAATCTTCTTCCGACGACGATGAATTCTGCCCACGCTCCTCTTCTCCTTCTAACACCACTCGTTCTCGTGGTGGCAGCGGTGAAGATTTCTTCGTTGGTGCTGAGGATGATCAGCTCATGCAATTTCAACCATTGCCTGAGTTCATTGGAAATGGTGGCGGGACTGGAATCTTTAAGTTTCCAACACGTTCAGCTGTGCACGCTGGCCGACCGCCTTGTCTAGAACTTAGGCCACATCCTTTGAGAGAAACTCAGGTGGGGAAGTTTTTGAGAAACATTGCTTGTACCGATAAGCAGTTGTGGGCTGGTCAGGAGTGTGGGGTAAGGTTTTGGAGTTTTGAGGATGTATATGAGGCTGGAAGTGGATTAGGTGGAAGAGCGAGAAGGGGCGATGAAGATGCTGCACCATTTTTTGAGTCAGGGAATACCTCACCTACAATGTGTTTAATCATTGACAGTGCAAATAGATTGGTTTGGAGCGGGCACAAAGATGGGAAGATTAGGTCCTGGAAAACGGATCAACATTTAGATGATGCTAATTCTCATTTCAAGGAAGGATTATTGAATAGTATAAATATAATTTATTTTATTATATTTATTTTAATGAAAAAAACCATTTAAAAAACCATTTATATTAAAATAAAAAAAATAAATATTTTATTATTTCTTAATATGTTTAATGTTATTTTTTTTTATATATTTATATTTAATTGATTTATTTTTTTAGTGGTCCATTTTGTTAGTTTTGACTATTTGAAAGAATACGTAGAAATAGGCTAATTCTCATTTTAAGGAAGGATTATCGTGGCAGGCTCATAAGGGTCCTGTTCTTTCTATAGTTATGAGCTCTTTTGGTAAGCTAGCTTTCATTATATTGCCTTTTTGGAAAATGATAATCACCGTTCTTATTGGGACAAGGCATGGTATCTGAAATGTGATAAGAAAATGCTAGGGCATAACACCAACTATCTGTAAATTTCATGAGCAAGAAATTCTTTTAACGGTCTAATTTCATAATCGTTGATTAATAATCGTTATTGTCAAAGAACAACTTGCCATCTTATCTCTTATACTTGCCCAGAACCTTTGATAAATTTGACATGATCTTGCTTTTCAAGGCTCTAATTTTAAACTTTGTGCTTTGATACATGTAGGTGATCTGTGGTCAGGTGGTGAGAATGGTGTTGTTAGGATTTGGCCATGGGATGCCATCGAGAAATCTCTTTCTCTTTCACCAGAGGAAAAACATATGGCTGCTTTATTGGTGGAGAGGTCTTGCATTGACCTCAGGAGCCAAGTCACTGTAAATGGTGCCTGTAGCATATCTTCTTCAGATATAAAGTGCTTGTTAGCTGACAATGTTAGAGCTAAAATTTGGTGTGCTCAGCCTCTTTCCTTCTCTCTTTGGTATTTTCTTTTCCTCCCTGAAGCTCCTAGAATGTCATGAGTTCTTTAAAAATCTTCGATAAATGTTTAGTTTTTAGGCATTGTTGGTACCACTAGGCTATGAATTGGCCATAAGTTGCTTCAAGTTACATGTGAAGCTTTATAAGATTTAAAATTCTGCAGGGATGCTCGTACAAAGGAGCTTCTGAAGGTATTCAATACTGAGGGTCAAATTGAGAATCGAGCTGACCTGCCATCAGTGCAACAGCAAGATCAGCCAGTAGAAGATGAGATGAAGGTAAAATTTGTAGTCCCATCGAAAAAGGAGAAATCTGGGGGATTTCTGCAACGTTCACGTAATGCTATAATGGGAGCAGCAGATGCTGTTCGCCGAGTTGCAACCAGGGGAGCAGGAGCATTCACAGATGATGCCAAGAGAACAGAAGCACTAGTGCTGACTATAGATGGAATGATCTGGAGTGGATGTCCTAATGGCCTTCTTGTGCAGTGGGATGGGAGTGGAAATCGTTTACTAGAATTTAGTCATCATTCTTCTGCTGTCCAATGTTTTAGCACTTTTGGAACACAGATATATGTTGGCTACGCAAGCGGTGTTATCCAAGTATTGGACCTGGAGGGAAAACTGATTTGTGCATGGGTTGCTTACAGTAATCCTAAACCCTAAACAATAATTATTAAGTATATCATTTAATTTTCTAATCTACATAAAAAAATAATTAAAGAAAAATAACTTTTTTTAAAAGCCCCCCTCCATCATTTAGTAGGTGAGGAACTCCTTCAAAGCATTGCATGGAAAAGCCGCAATACAAGAACTGTCTGGCTCTCGAGGACTAAAATGAATGTCGGTCAAGGAAGAGCATCCCAGGATGCACTTAAAGCATGGTTAGGTTCTACTGCATCAGACGTTGGCATTATTGTTATTGGGTTACAAGAAGTAGAAATGGGTGCAGGTTTTCTTGCAATGTCTGCTGCAAAAGAAACAGTAAGATCTAGTTGATCTGCTTTCATTGCAATGGATGGTCATTTGGTTTCTGTTTTCATTCTCTATCTTTTTTAATAAATAATGTAGTTTCATGACAAGTTGACGCACAAAGAATACATATAGGTGCTTGAGTGAATGTTTAGCTGTATAAACACAAATATTGATGCTAGATAAACATCTCCAGAGCTTAGAAAAATCGACGCTGTGGATTTGAATATCAAGAATTTCAACTACGATGAATGCAGGGAGGAAGTGTTTTTCCTTTTAATGTAGCCTGATAATTAGTTGAAGAGATTTGTTCTATATTGTTCTGCACATTATCTTGTTTGCTGCTTGTTTTGTAGGTAGGACTTGAAGGGAGTGCCATTGGTCAGTGGTGGCTGGACAATATAGGAAAAGCCTTAGATGAAGGAAAGACTTTTGAACGTATGGGTTCCAGGCAACTTGCAGGCTTGCTCATATCTCTTTGGTAAGTGCCTGTAACTTAGTTTGTGTTGCCGATTTAACCTGTTATTTTCAGACTAAACCTCCAGTCAGTCTTTTCTCCTTTGAAGAAGCATCTTAATCCTGTCTTCGTGTCCCAAGGGTTCGTAAATTTTATAGTTTGTCGTATCTTATATTGTGAGTTCTCAATTAGGGTAAGAAAGAATCTCAGAAAACATGTTGGTGATGTTGATGCTGGGGCAGTTCCATGTGGCTTTGGACGAGCAATTGGCAATAAGGTATGTATGTACCTGTCACTAACAGTCTTTGCTCTATTCAACATTTAAACCATCTTAATTGCAGTGTGCACATTTTAAAATTGTTGACTAATCTGTCTTTTTTCATAATGTTCTAATATGTCCTTGCAGGGCGGTGTAGGTTTGAGAATTAGAGTTCTCGACAGGATCATGTGCTTTGTTAATTGTCACTTGGCTGCACATTTGGAAGCAGTCAATCGGCGCAATGCTGATTTTGATCATATTTTTCGAAATATGTCCTTTGGTCGGTCATCAAACCCTGCAGCAGCTGGTATGGTGCGATTCCTGTTTTTGTGTTGCGTTCTTGCCTTCTCCACATTTTTATTTTGGCTGCTTTATGTTTCTGGCTTCCCCCTGGTCCTATCTATTGCAGCTGGTGTCTCAACTGCCAGTCACACAATTAAGGGAACAAATGTACGTTCTTATGACCTTTTTATAGTTGCTAGCAGAATCTTTATTGGGTATGACCTATGAGTTACAAGGTAGTGGTGCTTTCACAGGCTGCTAGTGCCAACACTGAAGAGCCAAAGCTTGATTTAGCTGAAGCAGATATGGTGGTATTTCTTGGTGATTTTAATTACAGGCTTTTTGGTATATCATACGATGAAGCAAGGGACCTTGTTTCACAAAGAAGCTTTGACTGGCTTCGAGAAAAGGATCAGCTCAGAGCAGAGATGCAGGCAGGGAAAGTTTTTCAAGGAATGCGTGAGGCACTCATTGTGTTCCCTCCTACTTACAAGTTTGCAAGAAACCAACCAGGTTTAGGAGGTAAA